CCGGTTGAAACCCACCCCTGGTATGTATGTATGTATGTATGTATGTATGTATGTATGTATGTATGTATGTATGTATGTATGTATTTCTATAACAGCTCATGTAAAGTTGGTACAGTAGGAGGAATATTAAGAGAGTGGTAAAGGGGGCTAAAACAAGAATTGAATAAATTTTCATTTCCCCCATTTTTCCTTTGTTTTTGCTGTTGTTTAATATTTTCTTGAAAATGTATAACATTAAGCAGGGAGTAGGCATGTTAAAATCACCATCTCACGATTTTTGCTTGCAGATTTATTTTTTAATAGGATATCTCTTATAGTCTGTTACCTCAACCAATGTAAAGCAACCCAGCATTAAATAAGATTTCCAGTAACAAAGGATAATTGCTTTTGTCAAACGTGGTGTTCTTGCTTCTTTTTCAGCCTTTTGTACTTCTTTATCCCAGTACCTATAAATATAAGAATTAAAATCAGGTGGGAGAAGTCAGAAAGAGTTCAATATATCTTATCTGCAGGCTAATGGTCAAGTCATAAAATAGTAAAATACAGTGAGATTCGGTCCAACATCGATCTTGCTTAAAAAAAACAAAAAAAAACCCTTTCCAGCCTTGTATTCTTAGATATGTTGGCTACATCTCCCTTCTTAATGTTACTCCTAAAAAGTATCTGAAGCATGTGAAGGTAAAGAAGTATAAAAGTAAAGGTAGAGGTTCCCCTCGCACATATGTGCTAGTTGTTCCCGACTCTAGAGGGTGGTGCTCATCTCCGGTTCAAAGTCGAAGAGTCAACGCTGTCTGAAGACGTCTCCATGGTCTTGTGGCCGGCATGACTAAATGCTGAAGGCACTCAGAACGCTGTTACCCTCCCACCAAAGGTGGTCCCTATTTTTCTACTTGCATTTTTACGTGCTTTTGAACTGCTAGGTTGGCAGAAGTTGGGACAAGTAACAGGAGCTCACTCCGTTACATGGCGCTAGGGATTCGAACCGCGGAAATGCCGACCTTTCTGATCGACAAGCTCAGCCTCTTAGCCACTAAGTGACCCCGTCCCTTAAGAAGAAGTATAGGGACAAGTATGAAGAAGTATAAGGCACACAAACTTGTACAACGATTGCACAAAGGTTTCAAAGCAAGTCCATGGTGCTTATTCATTCTGATAGCAGTCATAGGCAGTGACAGCTCTTAACTAACCTTGACTGACTTTGATAAAAGTTTAGTAGAATGCAATTGATTATAGAGCTGATTTTGGAATATGGAAGCAATGAACAAGCTGTTAAGGGAGGATTTTGTGAAAAAAAATCATAGGAGAGTATGAGGTAAAAAGTTCAAAGTAACTCTGCCTTGATTTCTTCACTATAAAACAAGACAAAAATAAATCTGGACAGGCTTCCAGCACTCCTGGAATCCCTATCATGCTCATTTCTCAACTTTGCCTACCTGAAGAGTTGGGATGGAGTCATATTTGCTTAGCATTTGGAAGGGTGGCCAAAAGCTATAGAGTAGACTATACTTGAAAATCTGGCGGGGGGGAAAAAAATCAATAAACAGGTGGTGGCAAAACACTTCTCCACTGTTGCCATTGGGGACAATCCAGAAGCCACACTTTTCAGCCTATCCTTGTTATACTTTCCAGCCCAGCAGAAGTCACCATGAGCCAAGTTCAACTCAAGAAGATTCTACCTTACCCAGAAATAAATAAGACAAGATTTCATAGTTTCTCATGGCATCATGCTTGGATCTAGAAAAGGCAACCTCTGCAAAGGCACAAAATTCAAGTTGTAAAGTGATAACAAGTTCAGGAAAAAAAGAAGAAAGTGGGGGTGTCAAACTCAAGACCCACGGGCCACATCTGGCCTGCAGGGTGCTTAGATCTAGCCCATGGGGCTGCCCTAGAAACAGTGAAAGTCCAGCCCACAGTGCCTCTGCCAGCGAAAATGGTGCTCGGGAGGGCCACATGGCCACAGGGCTCCGTTTTTGATCACGACGGCCTCCTGCAGCCCTTTGCCAGTGAAAATGAAGCTCAGGGGCAGTGGTGAAATTCAAAAATGTTTACTACCAGTTCTATGAGCATGGCTTGGTGTGCATGGCAGGGGAAGGAAACTGCAAAATCTCCATTCCCACCACACTCTGGAGCCACTCAGAGGTGGTATTTACCGGTTCTCTGAACTACTCAAAATTTCTGCTACCAGTCTTCAGAACCTGTCAGAACCTGCTGGATTTCACCCCTATCGGGGAGGCTGTGTACAGCCTGCCTGGGGTCCATTTACAGCTGCAATGGCCTCCTGCAACCTTCTGCCAGTGAAAACAAAGCTCAGGGAGGCTCTGTTTTCACTGGCAATGGGCTGCAGGAGGCTGTCATGGTCAAAAACGGAGCCCAGGCGGGCTTCCCTGAGCTCCATTTTGCTGGTAGAGGGCTGCAGGAGGCCGTCACAGCCAAAAACTGATGCTCAGCGAGTGACATTGACCTGACCGTGCCCACCCTGGCCATGCCCATCCCTGCCATGCCCCTGCCCCCCCCCCAAACACAACCCTGATGTGACCCTCAATGAAATTGAGTTTGACTCCCCTGGCTTAAGGGCACCATGATGGGTTATGTGACCAGGAAAGAGGAAGAATGATTATTTAGAACAGCGGAGTCAATAACAATCCATGCAGTCACCCAACAGACTTACAGGGATAGGAGTGCATTGGTATCAGCCCTTCAAGGTTGTCCAGATCAGAAAGTAGATTCCACCAGAAAAATAAAATGTTTCTTTGTTGAGAAAGGTTACAGTAACAGAAATGCACAACTCTTTGTTTTCCTTTCTTTCTCTTATAGCCCAGGGAGTCGAGGGTAACTGGTCTGGGCTCAAAACATACTTATGCACCTGTCACCTTAATGGTTTTTAGATGGTTCCTCCGACATCCTCCCTCTGCTTCAAACTGGAGAAAGGTGAGTTGATTTTTTTTTCTTCACACCCCCTGCCAATTTTTTAAGAAAACTTTTAAATTTAGTCTTTCTTTTTCCCACACTAAATTTGGTTAGGCAGGGTCCTCTTTCTCTTTATTACTTTCCAATATTCCATTGTGTTGAGAAGAATAACAAGTCCTTTCTTGGTTTCTAGACCTAACCTCTTTGCTAGCAGTGGCCATATCTGATGACTGTATTTTCTTTTGGTGTGAACAACCAATGCACATTCCCCACCCCCACCCCAAGATCTAATGTTCAATCTCAGTCAGTTTTGTGGGGGGGTTGCCTGCTTCTTCCTTCACATGGAATTTGGTCCTGGTTGCCTTTGATGACTTTGGACTATAAAGAATAAAAAGACTGAATTATCTGTACTGAGACATTGGGATTTACATACCATTGCAGTGTTTCCCCGAGCACCTTAGACGAATCCTCAGTGAGTACTTTGTACATATCATCTTCTTCTAGTTTCCGTTTATGACCAATAACAAATAAAGGATTTAGCCAGCTGTCAAAAGAAAGATTACTTTCCATGTAATTATTGTACAAGACAAATATAAACTTCTTTCTTTCTTCTTTCTTTCTTTTCTTCTTTCCTTCTCCCTCTCTCCCTCCCTCTCACTCTTATATCACAACACCTACATCCAGGGGTGGGATTTAAATAATTTAACAACCGGTTCTCTGCCCTAATGACCAGCTGGGAAGGCGGGGTTCAGTGGTCATGTGATTAGGTGGGAGTGGCAACTCAACGTCACTCAGGTTGATGGACGGGTTAACTGGCAAGGCAGTTTCTGTAAACAGGGAAATAAAGATTAGGCTAGTAACAACACCAGAATGTTTCCTTCCTGCCTTCCTTACAAGATTAGCCCTGTAAAGTGGGGAAAAAAACAAAAACAAAAGGAGATTTCTTCCAACTCCGAACTGCTTAGAAAGTTAACAACCGGTTCTCCCAGATCGGTGTGAGCTGGTTGAATCCCACCACTGCCTACATCTCAACAGTAGTTCACACAGTCAGAAAAATAAAAGCATACTTTTGGAGAGGATGCTCACAAAGCTACAATAAATTTCTAGTACTTGGAGTGGGGGGGGGACTTTAGAAGTTATAAATAAATTGAGAGCAGAAAGTTTTGTGTGATGCTACTCTATAAATATCAGAAATGTTCATCAAAACATGAAATCGTAAGCAATATATAAATAACAGCAGATTATAAACATAACAATATGTTGGATTTCACTGCCATGATTCCTAATATTGTAACCCTCAGAGGACTGGTGTTTTTAGAATAGCCACAGGTCATTAATAATGCTAGTTGTTTTGTAAACATTTTTTAAATATTTGCCAGGGACACCTAGCTATATTACAAGAAGTTAAGAATCTCTGGGACCTGCTTCTCTTTTTGTCCTGTTATGTAAGACAAGTCTCACTATTTTTATTTTATTTTTTTGGTGCAGAATTTTGAGAGTATGTCATGAAAATAGCTGCATCCATGCGGGGTTTGCTTATTGCCAAAACCTCTTAATGAAGGTACGCCACATGATTTTCAGGATATTCTCAAGTGCCATGGTGAAAACTACCTGTCAGCCTCCCAAATAGACCTGACAGGAAACACAACAAGCCACAGTACTTCTACTTTATTGTAAAGTTACATCATTGGACTCTTGCAAGTCTGAAAGTATAAATCTCCCACTCTCTCTTTTTACTGTCTGGTTAATTCGGATGGATCCTTTCTAAATGTATTTCTCTGCTGTTACTCAGTTGCTGGCTTCTCCCTGTTTTATCCTTGGCAGCATCTCTTCTCCCTGTCTTCTATTACATCTCACACGAATTACATTTTTATTTTCTGAGAAATTAAAGAGCTCCTGTTAGTCGCATATATTCCTGGGAATAAAAGTACCAAAGGTTAATTCTTTGCTTTGTAGCCTGACAGCCTAATTGGATGGATGGATGGATGGATGGATGGATGGATGGATGGATGGATGGATGGATGGATGGATG